TCCAGGGGGTGTTTCAAAACACTTGTCCAGGGGGTATTTTTTTAGGAAAGTACTTTCCATAGCTTGTCCAAGGGGTACATGTCCAGGGGGGGTGTTTCGAAACACTTGTCCAGGGGGTATTTGTTTAAGGAAAAGTGGCTTCCATAGGTTGTCCAAGGGGTACATGTCCAGGGGAGTGTTTCAAAACACTTGTCCAGGGGGGTATTTTTTAGGAAAAGTGCCTTCCATAGGTTGTCCAAGGGGTTCATGTCCAGGGGGGTGTTTTGAAACACTTGTCCAGGGGGGTATTTTTTAGGAAAAGTGCCTTCCATAGGTTGTCCAAGGGGTTCATGTCCAGGGGGGTGTTTCAAAACACTTGTCCAGGGGGGTATTTTTACAGGAAAAGTGCCTTCCATAGCTTGTCCAAGGGGTAAATGTCCAGGGGGGGTGTTTCGAAACACTTGTCCAGGGGGGTATTTTTAGGAAAAGTGCCTTCCATAGGTTGTCCAAGGGGTACATGTCCAGGGGGCGTGATTCGAAACACTTGTCCAGGGGGTATTGTTTGAGGAAAAGTGCCTTCCATAGGTTGTCCAAGGGGTTCATGTCCAGGGGGGGTGTTTCTAAAACTTGTCCAGGGGGTATTCTTACAGGAAAAGTGCCTTCCATAGGTTGTCCAAGGGGTACATGTCCAGGGGGGGTGTTTCGAAACACTTGTCCAGGGGGGTATTTTTTTAGGAAAAGTGCCTTCCATAGGTTGTCCAAGGGGTTCATGTCCAGGGGGGTGTTTCGAAACACTTGTCCAGGGGGGTATTTTTACAGGAAAAGTGCCTTCCATAGGTTGTCCAAGGGGTACATGTCCAGGGGGGTGTTTCGAAACACTTGTCCAGGGGGGTATTTTTTAGGAAAAGTGCCTTCCATAGGTTGTCCAAGGGGTTCATGTCCAGGGGGGTGTTTCGAAACACTTGTCCAGGGGGTATTTTTACAGGAAAAGTGCCTTCCATAGGTTGTCCAAGGGGTACATGTCCAGGGGGGTGTTTCGAAACACTTGTCCAGGGGGGTATTTTTTAGGAAAAGTGCCTTCCATAGGTTGTCAAAGGGGTTCATGTCCAGGGGGGTGTTTCAAAACACTTGTCCAGGGGGGTATTTTTACAGGAAAAGTGCCTTCCATAGGTTGTCCAAGGGGTACATGTCCAGGGGGGTGTTTCGAAACACTTGTCCAGGGGGGTATTTTTTAGGAAAAGTGCCTTCCATAGGTTGTCCAAGGGGTTCATGTCCAGGGGGGTGTTTCGAAACACTTGTCCAGTGGGGTATTTTTACAGGAAAAGTGCCTTCCATAGGTTGTCCAAGGGGAATCCATCCAGGGGCATGTTGGAAAATTGTTGTCAATAGGGTGTATTTTCCGTGGCATGAGGGGTCAATGATAAGTGTGTCCAGGGGGGGTATTTTGGGGTGAAAGTGCCTTCCATAGGGGGGGTGCGGATATTTTCTGGAATAGCCCAATTCATTTCTGACTTAGGCTGTTAGGATAAACCATCAAACACATATTTTGTGAACATTCAAATAATATAAGCCGTACCCCTTTGGTCTGCATATGGACTGAACTTTGCCTATCTTAAATTTGGATGAAATATGGTTATTAAACCAGAAAATATTGTCAATTTTACCTGAATTCATTCTCCATCAAAATGTAAACAAATATTTTTGTTGTCTCCCTTGGATGCGGAACGCGGTAGATGTCGTAATATAACTACACCAAAAACTCACAACAAAAAATGGGAAAGTTGAATTCAGTTTAAATATATAGCTTTATGTCTTTATTCTCGTAATAGTGTTATGCATGAAATTTAAGGTTTGATTTTCAAACCCAACTTGTACGACAATCATAAAACTTTGAAGTTGGCGCCATTTTTGACTACACAAAAAAAATTGGGGAAAATGCCAGAGAATAAAAGCAACTATGATCCAGCAAGTTTGCCGGACTTGTTACCAATATATTACAAAAAATTATTTCCATATGGGCCATATTTTCGTTGGCTGAATTATGGAGGAGGTGAAGTATAAAACAAAATTATTTTCTAACAAAAGTATTTTTGCCTCTTGGCGGTTTTGAAGTACTAAATTATCCTTGTTTCCACTTACTGATATAATGATATTCATGTAAACATTCCCTTGAGAGTACTATAACAGCAAATGTGACTAGTCATTCAGAAAATGGACAATTTAAAGACAGTGGACTAATGAACTGGCAATTCGGATAAAAACACTTTGTTTATTTTCTATTCTACACTTTTTATTTGAAGGTGTCATTTGATATTTCAACAGGTATTTCTCAAACAGAACATCTCAATGAAGATTCTTAAGCCAAAAAGTGCTATTGCAGGGCCTTTTTACCTTCTATAACAGGGGCCGGTATAGGGCTGCTTCCCCAAAGAAAATTTCTTTAAAATCATGCAGTTTTCCCCAAAAATTGAATTTACATCAAGTTTTTTCTTCCCCTTTTGCAAATATACCTTGTATTTTTTCCCCAAAATTAAGGGCTGGGCTGCTTCCCCAAACTGAAAAAAAGCCCTGTATTGTTCCATTACTGGAATTGTGGGTTTTTGGCACATTTGTCAAGATTGTTGATAATGCAGGGCTCAAGCTAGGTTCAAAATTTAGGGAGAAGTCACTTCTCCCTCCAGCTGATTTAGGGAGAAGTGGGGAGACTTAAGGGAGAAGTGAGGAGATTCATTTATTGATGTTTGTTGTATGTTATCGCAATTATGTTGACTCACTGTTCATATCTTATTAAATGAATTGGATTTGTGTTACAAAAGAATATTCAATTTTAATTTAAAACAGGGACATAGATAGCTATTATTATAACTATTATTATCTGTCTCTGTTTAAAAGTAGTTTGAAACAAGTAATAATTAAGAATGAGTATCATGTAATGCAACCATTGCATTAAATGAAGATAAAAAAAGCCATAGTTGATTCCTATCATGGATCATATCATGGGTGGATTAATAGTTATTCCCTTCTGATTTACTATTAAAAAGATTGCGCCGGACATTATATTCATATTCACTTATGTTGTAAAGAAAATAAAAGTAGATAACGAAAGAAACGATCTTTAATTTCACTTTATTTGTAATAAATACAGTGTAATACGCCGTTAATCTTATCAAATTTAACTCGTCGACAAAAAAGGTTATCATAACTTTCATTTATAATTACCGTTACAGTTATATGTCGAGCGGTTCCGCTTAATTCTGACAATCATTCGATAGTGAAAATTTAATTGACGTTTGATCCGTCATCCTAAATAATTGTTACAGGTAGTTGTATGTTAGCGATTTAATGATTGGTTAAATAATGTCGCCTCGATTAAAACGTGAATTACGATTGGTTTCTCGCACGTATCGGTAATCTCGCCGTGGGCGGAGTCTAATTGTTCCTCGAGCGTCTGTTAATTAGACTTTTATGACATGTTGGTAAACAAACGGATTAAAGACATTTCGCGTTGATTGAGATGCATGACAGTCCCTTTTTCCGGCGGCGAGGGTAAACAAAGCAAACACTAACCACATGTTATTCACAGTTATTGTTGGTAATTTACAATAATGGATCAATAAAATCGGGCGACTTCATCTTCGCTTTCATGTAGGATGTCGGCGAAGTCAGACGGAATTCGGCGACTATTTCGCCCGAATCGCCCACTAGCTCGAGTCAAATTATCATCAAAAAAGCTCCTTTTGATCATCAGGAACTAAATTATTATCCAGCATCCATTTACTATACATATTATTCATAATCATTTTTTTTTATTTATTTAACAATTCAATGTTTTATAATATATTAAATATGAATATTCATAATCATATTCATATATAATGTTAATAAGGCAAACCCTAAAAGTGAGTTCTTTGAGAGAAATTACAGTTCAAAATACGCTTCACTAAATACTATGACCATCAACACATCGGCAGCAGCCCCATTTTTTACCACACATTTTATGATTACAAAATACTTTGAACTGTATTCTTACACTCAACAGTTAACCACACACTATTTTGGTTCTATATTCGGCCATTCCATGATAAATATGATATCTAAATTGAATCAACCTGACAGCTAACATCACAAAAAATCCAATTTCGGTATAATTTATAATTCCATTCGGGCTAGCTCTTCGAGCTCACTAATATATAGAAGGTATATAACTTGCCATAGCATATTTCCTGATACTGTCAACATTTTGCTCTAAATTTTTTTTAGATAGGACAGATTTTCATACATTTACTTGCAAAAATAGCGCAATAGGTACATATCTTTCAGTAACCATTTAAAGATATTTAGCTATCTATCATCTTTTACAATAAATGAGATGTCAAACTTGAAAAATTATATTAAAAGGTTGACATGTTTTATGCCAAGGAACTTTTCAAATCCACCTTGAGTAAACATACATTTACCTGCTTGCCATCAGTGATTTTCCTGCTTAAATAACAGACTCCGATAAAAGGCCTCTTCCCAATTGAAATTTTCTGTAAAATTATGCCATTTCCCAAAAATCTGAGCTTAAACCTGTTTTTTTACTTCCTAAATTAGCAATTTTAAAGATAATTTTTCCCGAAACCAAGTGGCTAAGGCCTCTTCCCAATTAAATGAGAAAAATCACTGGCCATTCACAAGGAAGTATTCTGAGCAGGTAAAAACATTGAATTATTTACTGATCTTCCCTTTTCAATATCCACATAGTATTTTGTTGAATTTATGGCTTGCTCTCTGAATTGTATTCATGTTTACTTTCTTTTATTCTTTTACAGTACCAAAGAGCTATTTCAGTCAGAGAGAGTTCTCATTCACATTAAAGGATGACATATATATACGATATCTGTCTTTCTCCACTGAAAAAGAGCTGTCGGAAGAAATTCAAAAAAGATGTCCGTACAAGATTGACATAGGAGCAGTGTTCTCCCATAGGGTTTGTACATATAGTTTACTTATCTATTATAATAATCTTTTATGTCAGGTTTCGATATGCAAATTTTGGCGACTTGATAAATTTAATACAAGTTTTCATCAGATTCAGAGATCCTTTATGTACTGGATTGAAAACCATGAAGATATATCATATATATTGCATGCAGGGTTATTATTTTTATTAATAGATTTGTGATCCATCTCATCGGTTGAAATACTGTTAAATTGGTTGTTTTTCAGCCTGTATTTAAAAATATTCCCCCTTGACCCTCGACAAAATCTGTTGTTTAAGTAAGTAGATCTGTTGCCTCAGAAAAAAATGAAAACACTGTGCATGAATTTTAAAGTATAAAAGCTGTTGAGCTTTATCAGTTTTAACTTTAAAGATGGCTTAAACCAGCATAAATACCAGAAAACATTTATATATATTGACATTATTATGAAGTAACAACGCTGAATAAAATGTTTGATTTTAATGCTTCAGAAATATAAAGACAGAAATCGCCCACTTAAATGCCAACAAATTTGTTACTTTATAGAGGAGTAGTTATATAGCATGTCTTTCCTTATAAAATGTCATCTTTTTTGGCTAAGCAAAACAGCCTATATTTTAAAGTAAACTGCAGTGTCTTTTCTAGGATTCAAAAAAAAAAAGGGGGGGGGGGTTATTGAAAACTGAGAATTTATTACTTTTCTCTTTCTCTATGTAAAATTCCCCCTTCCCCCCTTGAATAGACACTGAAACTGTATAAGGAAAAAAATCATCTGCTGAAGTGTGTTCCGAGTTGAAAGATTGCTTAGTTAAACTGCTCATTATTATTACAGCCTAAAGAGCACAAGACCGTGAAGGCAGCAGCATTCCAAGCATTAGAGAAGGAACTTGTGTTTGATATAGATATGACTGATTATGACGACGTCAGAAGTTGCTGCAGGTAAAATCTGATGGGAGCGTGATTCAATTATACAATTTTATACTGTATAATTATGTCTCAAAATGTTGGCACAGTTTGTGAAATGTAACTGGACATACATGATACTTTTATAGATGTGTTTGCTTCATTGGCCTTCTTCTTTGTTGATTTTCCAGACACTTCAAAAAGATAGGGAAAGCTATTGTACACAAATAGGAATTGGAGTCATACTATGGTTAAGTTTTTGTGTGCTTGTTGGTATCTCACAAACTACTGAAGGACATGGGTTGAAACTTCACTCACTTATTTGAGGGCATAATGGGAGGTCACAGTCCAAGGCCCTTAATTCTAAAATGGATTTTGACCAAAAAATAGCCCTTATAAGATCAAAGAAGTTGCTATACTTACAATCCTGGCTATTGTTTTACTATCAAATGCTGAGAATAATAGAGCATGGTATCCAACCAAGAACTCTTGTTTTAGATGTGATTTATTTAGCTCAGCTTTCACAAAGTTACATGGTGAGCTTTTATGATCGCTTTTCGTCCAGCGTCTGTCCATTTACATTTCCTCAAAAACCACTAAGCCAATTTCATCCAAACTTCACAGGAATGTTCCTTTGGTGGTCACCTATAAAAATTGTTCAAAGAATTAAATTCCATACAGAACTCTGGTTGCCATGGCAACCTGAAGAAAATCTTTAAATCTCTTCTTTAAAAAAAACCCAAGTTTGTTCAAATAAAAGCGCTAGGGTCAAAATTGGCCCTATCCCGGGGGATCATTGATTTTTCTTATATGTATATATTAAAACCTTAAAAAATCTGTTTTTTTACATGTATGAATTGTATTACAGTGGAGCTGATATATGTGACAGGTGCTGGCCATTGATGCAGATTGCTATTAAGATCATAGACAGAGCACTTAGAGGTATTTGTTGCCATAGTTTCTTACTGTATCATACTGTATCTTATCTACTTGTAAAGATAGTATATGTCTTTAAGAAGGATCTTACAATATTGAATAAAATAGAATTTTAGAAAGATATTGGGTTACAAATCTTGACTTACCATTGTATATGTGTTAAGTCATTTGTTACCCCAGGGGACCTATGTCAGGGCTTTTTTCTGCTATATAACAATGGCCCATCTCCGGCCCTTCTAAATTCTGGGTATCTTCACAAAGATGAGGAAAAACTACATAGTAATCAAGTGTGCATCTTTAAGGTTACTGATTTCCTGTTTGAAAGTCATACAGGAAATGGAAAGTATTTAACTAAAAACCTCTCGACCCCTTGTGGCTGAATAGTTTCCTTTAATGGTCAAGGCATAAGGGAATTGCAGCCACTGATTATCTCTGCATGATTGTAAAAGGCGACTTAATGGGATCAAAAACTGGAGCCTATGTATCGGGTGAGGTGGTTTTGACCACTGGTGTTGGCATGAAGTTTGTAACACCTGAGGTTAGCCAAAATCATTCCTGTTTAGGTGCCATGTCACCTTTAATGTGTTGTAGCCCTGTAAAACCAAACAGCAGAATGATCTCTTTCACTTTCGGATTAAAAAAAAAACAACACACACACCATTTGGGTAAAAATACCCTGTATGCTAGTCAGTTGTTCCGCCACCCCAAGGGAATATCTGGGACTTTGTCATTTAGATAATTACAACTTGAGTAAAAGCCCTGCCATACGGGGACAATCCAATGGCAAGAAGCTGTTCCATATGTTAGCACCAGAAAAGCACCTCATTGGAAACAGACAGAATATTGTGACTTCATATCTCTCTTCCCCCCCCCCCCCCCCCCCCCTCCTTTTTTTTCTTTCCCCCAATCATTTAGTGTGATGAAATCTTCAAAGGGATACATGTATTTGTATTCTATTATGTTATTTTTTCCGATGATTTTATTTTATAGATGATTTTGGTTTTGAACACCTTCTGTGGGTGTATTCTGGTAGAAGAGGAGTGCATTGCTGGGTATGTGATGAAACAGCTAGGAAACTTTCACAGAATGGAAGAACGGCTATTGCAGAATATCTCAGTGTAGTCAAAGTAAGAAGAATTTTTTTCAAAATATAGCTATCATATCTGCATAACACTGATTGAAGTTTCATGTGAAACTTCATATACAACATGACATCTCATTAAGGATGTTTTCGGGAGTTTTCATATAGACATATAGGCAAAATTTAACTGTTCAGTAGAATTTCTTTAAACTTGGCATGTTGTTGAATCTAAGGCACTCTACTCTTACTCAACTTTTGACTGAATTTTAGCCTTTTATCAACTTAGAAAATTATTGAGTGATCCACTTGAAACTTAATACATGTATTAGCGATTAAAATTGGAGGTCACTGTTCAAGGCCCGTAACCTTTGGCATGGATTTTGAATTGAATATGACTCTTTGTGACTTAAAAATTCTTTGATAAATATCTAAAATCATGCATGTATTTATGTAATGTGTTTTTAGCTCAATTGTTGGAAGAATAGGGAGAGCTATATACACACCCATGCATTGCCGTCACACTTTGGACAAATTTGCTTGTAAAACTATAATGGGAATGGGTTGAAATTTCTTACACTAGTGACTTATTTGAGAGACCTTGTTAGCTTGACTATTTGAAGAGTAGGAAAAACCCGGGTGTCGGCATGGCCATCACACTTTGGTTACGTATTTGCTTGCACATTGGTATCTCCAAAATCTTCACACACTTATTTGAGAGCATAATCAAAGTTCGCTGCCCAAGCCCCATAACTTTAATATGAATTTTGACTAAACTATTGGCCTATTTAACTTAAAAAAATGCTACATTTTTCATGCTCTATGCTCTAGTTTTACTATCAAGCAGTGAGTACAGCCGAGCACACTGTCCTACTGACGGCTCTTGATTTTTTATGGATGAGCACTTTTAGTCATAGTAATATGGTTTGTATTTTCAGGGTGGAGAAAGTCAAACAAAGAAAGTTGTTTTAGAGGATAGGCCACATCCTTCTATCAGGTATGTTTCTCAGTATTTTTGCAAAAGGGGATAAAAAAAAACCGTTCTGTTAATTGAATTTTTTCTAGGTGAAAACTGATTTTAAAAGAATTTTCCTGAGGGGAAGAAGCCCTTAAAGCAGCATATGTTAAGATTCTTGTTTGTCATGAAAATTTATTTGTATTTAAAAATAAATTATCAAAAAGAAGTCAAAATATGTAAAAAAAACAAAAAACCTTTACTTTGTGAGTCACACAGTAGAAAAATGGCTATAAATACTGCAAAATCAGTCATTAATGACTACAAAACTTTGTTGAATCTGTTTACTTTTCTTAAAATCTTAGAACATGTCTCTCAAGTTTGATTTTCTTGAAATATTTTTGCTCATTTGGAGGCATGCAGCTTTAAGAGGTCCCTGTGATAAGTTGGGGGAAAAAAAAGTATTAGATTGATATTACAAATATTTTCCCCATCAATATTCCAGGGCTTCAGTGGAGATTGTGAGTGACAGATTCAAAGATTATGCTGTCAAGAAACAAGACTTCCTTGGTGACGAAGAACAGATTAAAAAAGTTCTTCAGTTAATTCCTGATGAAGATATCCTTTTTTGCTTAGATGTTGTTTATTTTTCCCGTATAAACTGCAAGTTTTCATAATGGCTGGAACAATATCAGACCCATTATGTATGTTTTCCCCTCATAAAGATTTTGTTTGTAAGCTCACCAAAGCCGAAGGCTCAGGGTGAGCTATTAGTATCAAAGGGGGATGCTCCGGCGTCCGTCGTCCTGCGTCAACAATTGTCTTCTTCTCTGAAACTACTAAGCAGATTTACTTCAAATTTGGTCTGTAGCATCCTTGTGACAGTCACACTTGAATTTGCTCATGTCATTCCAATTGGCCCCTTTTAGGGGTCAGCAGAGCTAAAAATAGAAAAACCTTTAAACATCTTCTAGAGAACTAATTGATGGATGATCACCAAACTTTGTCTGTAGCATTCTTGGGTAGTATTGTCAGGGTCCAGTGGGGCCGGCACTAAGAAATAACTTCAAATATGGTTCGAATCCTAGTCCATGCAAGGCGTCTTAAGCAATCAAGCTTAAGGAGCCAGACCCCAATACCCTAAATAACCTAAATATGATAAATGAGAGACATGAGGGATGAAGTAAAAGCCATATCATGTTAAGTTTCAACAATATAATTGAAAAATATCTTCAAAAAAAATGTGTACATATAAATTTCATAAATCGTTTATATCTGTGTCTGTAATCTGTGACTTCTTATAAACATCAGCTTCATATACGTTGGTCAAGATCTAGGTCATCATTATACTGGATAAAATATATATAAGCACATAGATAAGCATAACTCATCTAAACTGCGCAGACATGAGAGTGTGATGAGTAAAATACTCATATATCACTGCTCGAACATAAGCACATGCAAAAGAGAGTGAGATGAGATATATAAACTCATATACCACTGCTCTTACACTAAAAGCCATGCAGAGACATACACAGTGAGAGTGAGATAAGTGAGACACTTATATACCACTGCTCACACATTAAAAGCAACTTTAAGCAGGAACACAAGCATAAACTCTTCTTGATTTAAGTATCAAATATAACATTCTTCAAGTAGACTTATAAATTACAGGAAGGACTGAGACATGAGCATAACTCATGAATGATTTCCATTCCAAAAACCCTAATATATACTTAGATGAAAAATATATCTCTTCTAATACAGCTTATGAAGTTTTATCAAAGTTTCAGCATGAACATCAACTGAACTGTCAAACTGTAAAAGATTTCTTGACTAAAATGGCTTCTTGTCCAACTCGTTCCTTTCTGCATGTACATTCTTCTCTCTATCTTCATAAAAAAAAAAAATATAACACGTGCAACATGTAAACAATAACAAACGTCATCCACGCCCTGGATTCTGATTGGTCAGCCGCATCACACACAAAAATAGTTCCTAATTGAGATCAAAACTTCTAAGAAAATATGAAGGTCATCGGCCATCTTTAGCGTCCGTCAGCATCTTCTTCTATAACAAAAAAATAAAAATGAACAAGAAACAACTTAACTGAACCATGGAACTTCCAACTGGTGAATCCAAACATCGAACGCCATCCTTACTTTCACTTTCGTCTGTATCCGGTTACACAGGCAGTCACGAAACAACAAAAATAAGTCTGAAATTTCTAATACAAATAGCGTGGTTTAACCTAAACGATTTTTTAGCGTGCAAGAGGTCGATCAAGGGCGCGCTCGAGCTTATATATCATACGATGCTGGAATTGCAGGAAAGCTCTGCAGGAATCGTTGGAAACTGGAAGGTCGCTGTTCCGCCATTCCTCGATAAAATTTTAATGAGCCAAATCTAAATTAAACTTGCATGTACATTACTCAAAGACCATGTCGCTGTTTCTGAAATAAATCTTCCTACATATATATAGCAAAAATAACACTAGACAATGTATGAAATAATATTTATAGCCTGCATGATAAGTTTTACCGATTCCCGGAAGGGGTATTTAATTAACGGAATGTCGTAAACTCCAACATTTTCAACCAAGACACCCGCAAATCTTACGAAGAGCGATGAATATTAATTACACAGATAAAACAGAATTTCTAAGTGTTGACAGTGTACAATTACACCACAGGTATCTTCAATGATCGGTAATTGATTGAATTAAACCTGTACTTTAATGTAGAACCAAGTAATTATGATATAATTTCTGTGACTGACAGCTTGCATGCCATATTTTCGGATAGGGCTGGATTCGGACTGTATAAGATAGTTGATCAAAATTTATCATTTCTCGTCTTTGTGATGACATCATGGGCCCCACAGTATTTTATCAAGTTTGCTCATATTAATTTGATTGGCCCCTTTTAGGGGTCTCTAGGGCTAAAAATAGAAAAACCTTTAAACATCTTCTTCTAGAGAACTAATGGATGGATGATCTCCAAACTTTGTCTCTAGCATTCTTAGGTAATGTTTAATCAAGTTTGCTCATATTAATTTGATTGACCCCTTTTAGGGGCAACTAAAGCTAAGAGTAGAAATACTGTTAAATGTCTATTACTAGAGAACTAATCAATGGATGATCACCAAACTTTGTCTGTAGCATTCTTGGGTAGTCTTTTATCAAGTTTACTAATATTATTTTGATTGGCCCTTTAAGGGGTCTCTAGGGCTAAAAATAGAAAAACCTTTAAACATCTTTTTCTATAGAACTAATTGATGGATGATCACCAAACTTTGTAGGTAGCATTCTCGGGTAGTGTTTTATCAAGTTTGCTCATATTAATTTGATTGGCCCCTTTTAGGGGCCGCAAAAGCTGAAAATAGAAATACCTTTAAATGTCTATTTCTAGAGAACTAATTGATGGATGATCACCAAACTTTGTCTGTAGCATTCTTGGATAGTCTTTTATCAAGTTTGCATATATTATTTTGATTGGCCCCTTTTAGGGGCCGCAAAAGCTAATAATAGAAATACCTTTAAATGTTTATTTCTACAGAACTAATTGATGGAAGATCACCAAACTTTGTCTGTAGCATTCTTGGGTAGTGTTTTATCAAGTTTGCTCATATAAATTTGATTAGCCCCTTTTAGTGGTTTCTATAGCTAAAAATAGAAATACTGTTAAATGTCCATTTCTAGAGAACTAATTGATGGATGATCACCAAACTTTGTCTGTAGCATTCTTGGGTAGTCTTTTATCAAGTTTGCTCATATGAATTTGATTGGCCCCTTTTAGGGGCCGCTTAAGCTAAAAATAGAAATACCTTTAAATGTCTATTTCTACAGAACTAATGGATGGATGATCACCAAACTTTGTCTGAAGCATTGTTGGGTAGTCTTTTATCAAGTTTGCTCATATTATTTTGATTGGCCCCTTTTAGGGGCCGCTAAAATTAAAAATAGATATACATTTAAACGTCTATTGCTACAGAACTAATTGATGGATGATCACCAAACTTTGTCTGTAGCATTATTGGGTAGTCTTTTATTAAGTTTGCTCATATTAATTTGATTAGCCCCTTTTAGGGGCCGCTAAAATTAAAAATAGAAATACGTTTAAACATCTTCTCCTACAGAACTAATTAATGGATGATCACCAAACTTTGTCTGTAGCATTTTTGGGTAATCTTTTATCAAGTTTGCTCATATTAATTTGATTGGCCCCTTTTAGGGGCCGCTAATGCTAAAAATAGAAAAACATCTTCTTCAGAACCAATTGATGGATGATCACCAAACTTTGTCTGTAGCATTCTCTGGTACTCTTTTATCAAGTTTGCTTATATTAATTTGATTAGCCCCTTTTAGGGGCCACTTAAGCTAAAAATAGAAAAAACCTTCGAACATCATTTCCTACTGAAATAATTGATAGATGATCACCAAACTTTGTAGCATTCTTAGGTAGTCTTTTATCAAGTTTGCTCATATTAATTTGATTAGCCCTGTTTAAGCTAAAGCTTAAATGCCCCAGGTCATGGCATTTCTTCAAATTATTGTTTAAACATATTCTATGCTCAAATTTAATATTAGAATATATTGACATTCCAACACTGAAAAGCAATTGTTTCTGGTAAGCGACTCAGGGCCATCATGGCCCTCTTGTTTTTAGTTTATACTAAATTTGTTTTAGTTTGATCCTGTAGGAAGCAATAAGCTTATAGATGAGTCTGTAAAAATTTAGACAGGACCTTAACTTACTAATAAACTACAACTAAACTTTACATTATTTTTTTCCTCAATTCCTCACAAGTTTCAAAAATAACATAGAAAAAAACATGGAGAAGTTGAAAGAAAAAAACATTTCAACATCTACTTACAGATGGGTATTAATACAAGATTGCTGTAATGAAATCAGGCAAAAGGTGAGTAATCATTGAGTTAATATTTTACATAAAGTGACAGTTATCCTTCATGTGAGAAAGCTATCCAGCTAGCTGAGTGAATGATGTTGGTTCTACTCTTGGTCCCCAAAATAATGCAAAGAGGGCATGTGATCTCTTCCTCTAGGCAGAGTTATGGCCCTTGATTAGTATAGCTGAAAAGTCATTATTTGACCTAGACTCTGTTGGTGTGACATAAAACACAATCAAAAACAAAAGAAAAAAGATTTTTTTCTCATTTATGAAAAATTACCAGTGAGTACAGTATCTGTCCTCAATTTTATTTCCTTCAGAACGAGTATAAGAAGTCTCACAATGTTGTTGATGAGATTATGCTGCAGTACTGTTACCCGAGGCTTGATGTGAATGTCAGCAAAGGAGTCAACCATTTACTTAAAAGTCCATTCTGTATACACCCTAAAACAGGTAACAAAAAATAAACACACTTTTTGTTGTCATTGAGTTTTGTTACATTGTATACATGTTAAAACAGGTAACAGAAATAAAGGCATTTTGAGGTGGTTTTGACCCTGGTGTTGGTTCCTGAGGTTAGCCAAAATCATATTTCCTGTTTCAGCACAATATGACCTTATCTGTGTTGGTGTGCTGTTAAAACAGGCTGTCCAGCGTCCCTAATATTTCTAAAAAATCCTAATTTTTTTTCAGTTTGGCTAAAATTCCTAAAAAAAATGAATAATTCAAAGGAAATTCCTAAAAAAGCCCTATTTTTTAGCTCACCTGTCACAAAGTGACAGGGTGAGCTTTTGTGATCGCTTTTCGTCCGACGCGTCCGTCCGTCGTCCGTAAATTTTTACTTTAAATGACATCTCCTCATGAACCGCTAAGCCAATTTCATCCAAACTTCACAGGAATGTTCCTTTGGTGGTCACCTTTAAAAATTGTTCAAAGAATTTAATTCCATGCAGAACTCTGGTTGCCATGGCAACCAATAGAAAAAACTTAAAATATCTTCTTTTAAAAAACCCAAAGAGGTAGAGCTTAGATATTTGGCATGAAACATCTTCTAGTGAGTGTCTATCAAGTTTGTTCAAATAAAAGCCCTGGGGTCAAAATTGGCCAGGCCCCTGGGGTCATTGTATTTCTCTATATGCATATAGTAAAAACTTAAAAAAATCTTCTTTTAAAGAACCCAAAGAGCTAGACCTAAGATATTTGGCATGAAACATCTTCTAATGGGTGTCTACCAAGTTTGTTCAAATAAAAGCCCTGGGGTCAAAATTGGCCCGGCCCCAGGGGGTCATTGATTTTCCCTATATGAATAAAGTAAACTTATAAAATCTTCTTTTAAAGAACCAAAAGAGCTAGAGCTAAGATATTTAGCATGAAACATCTTCTAATGAGTGTCTATCAAGTTTGTTCAAATAAAAGCCCTGGGGTCAAAATTTGCCCCGCCCCAGGGGGTCATTGATTTTCCCGATATGCATATAGTAAAAAGTTATAAAATCTTCTTTTAAAGAAACCAAAGAGCTAGAGCTAAGATATTTAGCATGAAACATGTTCTAATGGGTGTCTACCAAATTTGTTCAAATAAGAGCCCTGGGGTCAAAATTGGCCCTGCCCCGGGGGTCATTGATTTTATTTATGTGTATAGCAAAAACTTAAAAATCTTCTTTGAAAAAAAACAACAAATAGCTAGAGTTTAGATATCAAGCATAAAACATCTTCTAGTGAGTGTCTTCAAGGTTTGTTAAAAAAAAAAAACCTGGGGGCAAAACTGGCCCTGCCCTAGGGGTGTCATTGCTTTGAACTATAGTATATGTGTATAGTTAAAACTTAAAAAATTATATTTTAAAAAACTCAACGAGCAAGACCTTAGATGTTTAGCATGAAACATCTTGTAATGGGTGTCTACCAAGTTTGTTCAAATAAAGCCCTGGGGTTTAAACTGGCCCCACTCTGGGGGCCTATATACAGGTTAGCGACTTCAGGGCCATCATGGCCCTCTTGTTCACTTAAATTCCTATTTTTTTTATCTTTTGTGATATAAACATATCGCAAAACAACCATGTTTCAATCACACCCTAAATTCGAACACAGTCAGTGGAGCTGATGTCATGTCTGACTAAATTGCATAAAGTCACATGTATTTACTCAACTCCTGCAGAAATGCCATACTTGATTAATTACCAAATGTTATCAGAGAAATAATAAGAAACTGTTTGTTTTAAATGGAATGGTTAAAAATGTACCAACCTTAAAATGAATAAATGTTGATAATAAATGCATTTATAGCTAAAATAAATCTAAAGCATAATTTCCCCTTCCATTTATTATTGGCTAATCAAAGCTAAACTAATTGAACATTGGTTGTTCCGGGATACTTATTACTTTGAAAATGTTTTCATTCTAGTTATGTTTTAATGTAGTTTTTCAGCTCTTTTCAAAGGCAGTTGACCAGTGAATCCATTTCTTCACTGGTGACTGTGGAACACTGGTAACACCTTTGCTATAACCGAACAAGAGCATTATTTTTGAGTTACTTTTGTGTCAAATATGCAAAGTTGAGCCCATATCATGGTCTTTTGAGGCCATAATTTAGTTATGAAATTCCAAATTTTAGCCCTAAAATTTCATTTATTTACCCTAAAATTCCTAATTTTAGAAATTAGCCCTAATTTTTTGTCAGGAGGTGCTGGACAGCCTGGTTAAAACCAAACAAAAGAAATAAATGCTTTTTGTTGTTTTAAATGAGTTCTTTTACATTGACAGTGGTTTTGAATGATGATACATAATATCAGTATTTTTAGTCTCAGGGGGCTTCTATGTAAAGGTTGTTGACTGTTGATTTTAAACCACTTCCCCCTCACTGTTGTAGGTTTTTAACCAGGTTTTCCGAAGGAAAAAACTGGTTATTAGATTGAGGTATGTCGGCGGGCGGACGGGCAGGCGGGCGTTAACAATTTCTTCTGTGCGCAACTCCTCCTACATTTCTCAACGGATTTTGACCAAACTTTCACAGAAGCTTTGTCATCAAGTGCCCTGGCGCATATTGTCGGGGTTTTGCCATTGGATAATATTTGACCTATTATGGCCCTTTGTTGTTTTTTCTTATATAGAATATATAGTGAACAATTTCTTCTGTGCGCAACTCCTCCATCATTTCTCAACGGATTTTGACCAAACTTTCACAGAAGCTTTGTCATCAAATGCCCTGGCACATATTGTCGGGGTTTTGCCATTGGATAATATTTGACCTAATTATGGCCCTTTGTTGTTTTTTCTTATATAGAATATATAGTGAACAATTTCTTCTGTGCGCAACTCCTATATTTTTCTACGGATTTTGACCAAACATTTACAGAAGCTTTGTCATCAAGTGCCCTGGCACATATTGTCCGGGTTTTGCCATTGGATAATATTTGACCTAATTATGGCCCTTTGTTTTTTTTCCTTATATAGAATATATAGTGAACAATTTCTTCTGTGCGCAACTCCTCCATCAAGTGCCATGGCACTTATTGTCCGGGTTTTGCCATTGGATAATATTTGACCTAATTATGGCCCTTTTGTTTTTTTTCCTTTTATAGAATATATAGTGAACAATTTCTTCTGTGCGCAACTCCTCCTACATTTCTCAACGGATTTTGACCAAACTTTCACAGAAGCTTTTTTATCAAGTGCCCTGGCACATATTGTCGGGGTTTTGTGATTGGATAATATTTGATGTAATTATGGCCCTTTGTTTTTTTCCTTATACAGAATATATAGTTAACAAATTCTTCTGTGCTGAACTAGTCCTACATTTCTCAACAGATTTTGTTCAAACTTTCACAGAAGCTTTGTTATCAAGTGCCCTGGTGCATATTGTCAGGGTTTTGTGATTGGATAATATTTGACCTAATTATGCCCCTTTGTTTTTTTTCCTTATACAGAATTATCAATATATAGTGAACAAATTCTTCTGTGCTGAACTTGTCCTACATTTCTCAACAGATTTTGTTCAAACTTTCACAGAAGCTTTGTCATCATGTGCCCTGGCGCATATTGTAGAGGTTTTGTGATTGGATAATTTTTGACCTTATTATGGCCCTTTGTTTTTTTTCCTAATACAGAATACATTTTTTCCTTATACAGAATATACAGTGAACACTTCTTCTGTGGCAATTCCTCCTACATTATTCATGTTTTACATTGCACATAGTTACATTGTTTATTGCTTGCATTTGTATTACAAATACAACATATTTATCTACAATGGAGATAATTGAAAACCTGGTTTCGTGGCATTGCCATGTTTCTTGTTATCTTGTTAGATAATTTCATGTTAGGAAGCTTTCCAGTTAGCTTATGACACATCTGTAGTTCTACTTAGGTACCTGTTCGTGTCTGATATAATGCACCGAGGCATAAGTGTTGATGATGAAAAAAAAGGGTATGTCTTGTTATATTCTAATTAAACTGGTATTTATGCTACTAAAGGGAATTACACTTCAAACTCTGAGTAGATGATCATTGTCATCAGAAGATTGCACAAGACCCGTTAATAACTTTATTAAATGGCGTTTATATTTCAATAATTATCTGCCCTTTGAACTTAGAATATCATATGTGAATTGATAATTTTTTTCATAAAATATCATCTTTAATACTTGAAATAATAAATAAGTGATTAACTTGTTTATTTCATTGACAGGGAGAGTTTGTGTACCGATTGACCCAGAGAATATAGATGAATTTGATCCATTCGCTGTTCCAACCATAAGGTAATGTTGCATGTCATTCTCATACTGTGTCAGTTATGGAAATATAACATTTTTAGCATGAGAGAGCTATTGTATTCATGGTCACATATAAATGTTTTGTATGCAAAACGGTATCACCAAAGCTACCAAGGGAATGAACTGACATTTAAACACTTTTTTGAGAACATAATAAGGATTTTGCCAGAATTATGGCTCTTTTTGAACTTAGAAAATTCTACATTTTCCAGGCTCTTTTCTTACTATCAAGCACTGAGATTAGTCATGCAGGTTGTCCTTCAGACAGCTCTTGTTTTATTTACAACATTAATGGAATGGCGGCCAGTCTTTTTCAGGGTTGGGAGAGGGGTGGTTGTATCATTACATGTAATACATTTCTAACAAATAAAGGCAAAATTATTTATAATCTTATTATTTGATGACTTATTTCTGGTAAAATGTTCTGGTATTATTCTACGCTGACCAAAAAAAAATTTGGGTATATCGGGAAAAAAATGGAACCATAAAAATTTGTCTTATTTACAAGTTTCAGATTGGAATATATAGGAAAAATCCTGTGACTTTCTTTTTACCTTGACAAATTGATAGCATCCGATTATCAAAGTTCAGCTTTGTAACCTAGAATTTCTAGCAGACGATCATTAATTCCCCATGTAATGATCTTGTTTCAGTACTATAGTAGATGAATTGAACACCTCAGATGGCAGTGCTGAAGAAGGGAAAAGAGGAAAAGGTTTGTATATTTCTTTTCATTGCCCAATAAACTTACTTCGGAATGTAGAATATTGTGGGTTTTTCCCAGGCAAACAAAAAGTTACAGTTTCAAAAATTAGGCGCATCTTTTGTGACTGGTAGTGCACCTCAACAGCAAAAGTCTGTTTGTACCAGGGGATTAGCTTAGGGAAAAAAAATTGGCCGAGTTCCAGATTACATTAAATTCCAAGGTTTAGTGTGCATGTTCTGTACATATTGTCATGGTTGATTATATTGTCTTGAAACTTCATACATATTATTGGGATCATAACATTAAAACCTTTTTGTTATTAAGTAACTAAGATTAAATCTTGTGAATAATCAAGTATGTTGAGATCAAATCTTGTGAATAATCAAGTATGCTGAGATTAAATCTTGTGAATAATCAAGTATGCTGAGGTTAAATCTTGTGAATAATCAAGTATGCTGGCAATTTTGCAGTTTTTGTGTTGTTAAAGAAAGTGTATTCAGGCATAATATAAAAAATAACAGTCTGAACGGAAATATTATTTTTGTTTGAAATGAAATTATAATTTTGAGTTTTTTGTTCTTCCATGCAAGACAGATAGAAAGAATCCCCTAGAAATGTACTTTGTAAACATGAAACATTCAACACATATATTTCTGAAAACTCCTGTACAAAAAATGAACTTTTGTATTTAAAGCCCCTTTAAGGCTTTTTCTGGAAAAAAAAGGTTTGAAAAATAAGAATTCTAGAATAAGGGGTGAAAATTAGAATTCTAGAATATGATTGGGATAAAAAAATCTTTTATTTTTGGCTGTTAGACTAAATGTTCAAGGTTGTTGACTTGAATTGAGCTGACATCTTTATCAGTGTTTGTTTTCTGAAAAAGTTGTTCGCCAGTGAAAATGCTGCAGAAAGGCCTTTTAAGTGTGTTAATGAGAAAATGTTTGTGATCGTGTATATTTGCTTTCAGATTACAGACAAACATCTTTAAAGACGTGTATCGAAGTGTTTGATAAGTTTTTAGCACGTTTAGATAAGTCCTGGAAAGGAAAACTGATTGAACAGAGTGGTAACACAATATTTTGTTTGTTGCTTTTTAGCTCACCTGTCACAAAGTGTCATGGTGAGCTTTTGTGATCGCTTTTCGTCCGTCGTCAGTCCGTCTGTAAACTTTTACTTTAAACGACATTTCCTCATAAACCGCTAAGCCAATTTCATCCAAACTTCACAAGAATGTTCCTTTGATAGTCAACTTTAAAAAATGTTCAAAATTTTAGTTCCATGCACAATTCTGGTTGCCATGGCAACTGAAAGAAAAACTTAAAAAATCTTTTAGAAAACCGAAAGAGCTAGAGCTTAAATATTTGGCACAAAACATCGTCTAGTCTCAATGGGGCGTCCGTGGCCGAGTGGTTAAGGTCGTTGGCTTCAAACCACTTGCCCCTCACGGCTGTGGGTTCGAATCCCGACAGGGACTTTGGATTCTTTCATGTGAGGAAGCTATCTAGCCTGAAAAAAATGCACGGAGGGGCACCTGAGGTCTTCCTCCACCAGTAAAGCTGGAACATCGCCAAATGACTTATACTGTGTCGGTTTGACGTAAAACCCAAGTAAAAAAAGGTCAGTGTCTACCAAGTTTGTTGAAATAAAAGCCCTGGGGTCAAAATTGGCCCGCCCAAGGGGGTCATTGTTTTTCCCATTATGTAAATAATTATGCTTATAAAATAATTTTGAAACATCAAAGAATATGTACAATATGTACTGCAAATATTTGTTCACATATGTAATGGAAGAAAAGATATCGAATTAACATCCATATATTATTGTTGATCAAAAATCGATAGATTTAAAGATTTATATGATTTTGACTGATCAAATAAATCTAGAAATTATGAAAAATTGCCCAAAATACATACCAAAGCAGGTATCCTTCAAAAGGATATATGATGTGTACGTACAGTATTGGTGTGTTGTACCACCAACTAACCCCTCTTCTAATTTTAATAAATAAGTTTTATACAATTGTATATTTGTAGTAACATTGTCATGAATTTTTTAAAAAAAAGCAGTATAAATCCACATCTTTGTTTTATTCTTTTTCAGATATGAAAATGGAATTCTAGAAAAAAGATTTAGATAACTCTAGAAAAAAGGATATAAAAACAGAATTCTAGAGCAAGAGGTGAAAATTGAAAAATCTAGAACATGATTGGGGAAAAAAACAAAAGAAAAAAAAACACGAGATCAAGGAAAGAATTTTAGAATGATTTAAAAATAGAATTCTTGATAAAGATATGAAGCTTAACATCTAGAATACAAGAATGTGGGGGAAAAAAAGAATTCTAGAGCAGCCTCGTAAAATAGAATTTTAGAATTATATGATAAAACTGGAAAGCTAAAAAGGGTAAAATGAAAGGTTTTCAAAAACAAAATGTGAAAGTGAAATTTCTTGAGTAAAGTATAAAACTGGTTATCTAGAAAGGATATAGTAGAGGAATTCTAGAAAAAAAAGGAAAAGCAAGTTGCACAAAATGTAAACAGACAGGTTTTTTGTATGAATTTTCATTGACAGTGAATTGGAAGTAATAAAATGGGCACCATTGAACACAATCATTGACATTGTTTGGAGACTATACAACAGAATATAATGTAAATTTGGATCTTTGACCATAAACAATGACTTTATTAGGTGATAAAGAATGATCATATTTTTACTTTGTTCATAACTTTGTTTCACTCAAACATTTTTAATACTATATTTAGAATAAACTATTTATCAGATATTATGTTTATTCTTTGATGCAATAACTTCCAGAGTGTTAGGTCGAAAGTTTAAATTGTCTGCTATATTGAATCAAAGATGTAATACACAACGGGGACCAGCTCTTGGCTTTCAGCAACAAATATAAAAGCCCATTATTTAAGGTACACATTTAAGTCTTGTGAAATTAACAAAAAAAAGAGCCCTCAACAGATATGCCCAAAAATAATTATTGTTCCAAGTAGATTTTTCGTAAGTTAGTGGTGGCATCGTATATACAACTTTTTATATAAAAAATTTTTTTCCCCTCTGCCTGACATTCATCATACTATAACCTGGGGTTGCACCTGTACAACCTGGCAAAAAATTGGGTGATGTATCTGGCCAAGTGGTTTAGGTCCCTGTCTTCAAAACACTTGTCTGTCACCGCTGTGGGTTCAAATTGCATCAGTCTTTTTATCCCCCGCCGAAAAATTTCGGCGGAGGATATAGAAATAGTCTCCGTCCGTCCGACCTTCCCTCCGTCCGTCCTTCCGACATTTTTGTCCGGAGCATATCTCTAAAAGTATTTGAGTTATCAACTTGAAACTTCATAGGTGGATAGACCTCATTGAGGAGGAGTGCAGTGCACAAGAATGATAACTCTACCTTGCATGATTTTTGAGTTATTGCCCTTTGTTATTTTTCAAAATTGATTTTTGTCCAGAGCATAACTCCAAAAGCCTATGAGATATTAACATGAAACTTCATAGGTGCATAGATCTCACTCAGGAGGTGTGCAGTGCACAAGAATGATAACTCTACCTTTCATAATTTTTGAGTTATTGCCCTTTGTTATTTTTCATACCTAATTTTTCACCTGAGTGGAGCATAACTCAAAAAGTGTTTGAGATATCAACATGAAATGTCATAGGTGGATAGATCTTATTGAGGAGGAATGTTGTGCGCAAGAATGATAACTCTTCCCTATACAATTTTTGAGTTATTGCCCTGTTTTTTTTTTCATGCTATTTTGTCCAGAGCTTATCTCAAAAAGTATTTGAGGTATCAACTTGAAACTTCATAGGTGGATGGATCTCATTGAGGAGGAGTGCAGTGCTTAAGAATGATAACTCTACCCTGCATTATTTTTGAGTTATTGCCCTTTGTTATTTTTCAAAATTAATTTTTGTCCAGAGCATAACTCAAAAAGCCTTTGAGATATCAAAATGAAACTTCATAGGTGCATAGATCTCACTCAGGAGGTGTGCACTGCACAAGAATGATAACTACCTTTTATAATTCTTGAGTTATTGCCCTTTGTTCTTTTTCATACTTAATTTTTCAATTCAATTTTTTTCTCAAAAAGTATTTGAGGTATCAACTTGAAACTTCATAGGTGGATAGATTTTACTGAGGAGGGATGCAGCACACAGGAATGATAACCTACCCTGCATTATTTTTCAGTAATTGCCCTTTGTTATTTTCAGCCATCAGTATTCACATAGGTTTCAAATCTGTAATCACTATAGCCATCAGTTTTCATTACCAAAAGACCTCTTAAAATGGAATTATTCCGCTCTACTACATTATACATTCTTCCAATGAGCAAACACATTCGGCGGGGGATGGCCATGTTGACATGGCTCTTGTTATTCTTTTAATTTAAATATCCAGCTAGTTGGTGGTTCTACTCCTGATCGGGTGCAGTTCAGGCCTGAAATTATGTATGGAGGGGCACGGGAGATCTTCCTCCGCCAGTAAAGCTGGAAAGTAGTTCAGTTGCAAAGTTAAGCCCCTTTTTAGCTCAATTGATTGAGTCATGAGGTATAGTGATGGGGCTATGTCTGGTGTCGTGCATTGTCAACATTTAGGTTGTGGTCAGTCTGGCTGTCACTGTTTTGGTTGGATCATAATCAAACTTTGTCAGTCAAAAGCTAGTTCACACAGTTAAAATATTGAGAAAAAAAACTTTCTAAGGGATTTATTTTTAGTCAAAATATCCTGGAAATGGTTAGAAAAGTTTTGTTGATATCTCAATCAAGTTCAAATATGGGTCACTTTGGGTCTAAAAACTAGGTCACATCGCCTTAATATGGAAAAACCTTGTTAACACTTGTGGCTACTGTTTCGATCCAAAATATGGAAATTGATCTGAAAACTTATGATGATTTCAAGGTCAAGTTCGAATATGGGTTACTGGGGACAAAAACTAGGTCAAACAGCCTGAATATTGAAAAACCTTGTTTAGACTTTAGGGGATACTGTCCCAATGCAAATACATGTATCCTGGAAATTGGGACTGAGCCTTCGTAATCAGGTGAGCAATATATAAGGGCAATCATGGCCCTCTTGTTTAATTGAACTTTTTTGCACCAACAAAGTTTTACTATTACTTTGAAGGTATTGCTTTGAAAATCTTTAAATGAAAATCATTTCAAGGTCCTGTCAAAAGGTCATACATGTAACTTCCTTTAGAATTTTGACAAAACTATACCCTGTTTATAACTTAGAATTTTGTTTTAGTATTTTTGTAGCACCCAAATGTGTAGCTATATATACCCTTTAAGGTTTTACTATGAACATTGTGTTAATTTTCCCCCCAACATACCTAACGCTTTATTTGGTTTAACCCTTTACCTCATATATACGCAAAACAACGCACTTTCGACCCCCCCCCCTTTATAGGCCTGAAATAGTAAAAAAATGTCATATTTGGGGCCCCAAACACATGTTTTCGTTTGAGAAATGTTGCTAAAAGAAGTGAGCACTTTTTCGGCGCCGCCCCCATCCAAAAGATACATCAGGGGGGTTGTGCCCCCTTCTGTTTGGCGGTTTGAAGGGGGCGGAGTCCCCCTCATCGCTAAGAAAATTTTGGACTTGTGAGAGGCTAAAAATGATCCCAGGTCGATCATAAGGTAACGTGTAACCAACGCTGAAATGCCTTTGACTCTATCTCAATCCCGTGAGAAGTTGCAGCACTTTGAAATAAATTTTGATGGAAAAAGTCCAGGCAAAATAGTGATTGTTTGGCATTTTATTTTTGAGATGTCCCCTCGTTGCCATGGTAACAGGAAATTTAAGACTGAGCATGTCGTTACAAAGGCAATGGTCCAGTCAACATTTGTGCCAAGTTTGATTAGTATTGAAGCATTTTTCATAGTTTCATAGCAGTTTGAACTTGTAACAGGAGATTTATCAGTGAAAACGGCCATTTTTCACAATATACTCATGAGGGAAAGGGTTAAACATAATTATTTAAGCTCCATCGCGAAACAAGTCCGCTTCCTAGAACTAGTACAGGTGTCATATATGAAATAAGTTGTGAACCGATTAGGGCTAGAACCCAGAATCTCCTGAGTTGAGAGGCGGACAGCTTAACCAATAGGCAACCACTTCCCTTTGACCAAACTGCTTTATTTCTTTGGAGTTGTTCAACAGATTGTCCTTATTTGTTTATACAGATATTATTTTAGTTGGATTGTGTAGGAAGCTATAATATTATAGACACATTTTTGAATCCGTTCCCTAGACCAACCAATACTGATAAATGAGTTCAAAGTTTCTTGCTCAAGGAAACAAGGACGCCCCTATAATGGGATTTGAACCCATGCTGCAAGCGATTAATAGATTACTAGTCCGATGTGTGAACCACTCGGTCATGCCGACACTGACAAGTCTTATTGAAAAGTCTTATTGAAAGTTTCCTTTCAGTCGCCTTTTCAAAACCAAGCATCTCTGTTACTTGGAATAATGCTAAAAGGACAGCTGTTAAGCTGTTTGACCTTTTAATAGTGTGTGGTAGGGATCAAACGTTTGGTGTAGGCACTTACTTACAATTTACATCAGATTGTAGCTATATATGTTTTACTCAGGGAATAATAATCAACACTTATACGAATTACATGAACTTTATTAACATGGTGTTGTTAGCAGAAGGAATCACATAATTATTTATATGCATATAATAGAATTCTTATACAAATCAAAGTAAATGCATTTATCCACTTAGTTCATTAATTGATACATGAAAGCCTAGACCGAGCACAGAAATAAACATCATATAATCTGACCAAAGAAAAGTACAGAAAAAATAAAAATCTTGTTTATAAACAAATTATTCATGATACAATAAAGAATTGATTGTTTGTTTGTTTCATTTTACGCCTTTTTCCAACAGTATTTCAGTCATATAGGCGGGTAGTTTCCTAACCATCGTTCCTGGAGAGTTACACCAGTACTAGACTACCTTCCTCCGCGCTAAACTACAATAAAGAAATACATCAAAGAAATACATCACACTTGCTTAGTAGTAAAATTAAAAAACTTGTTAAAGCTAATTACAATGTAAAGTTAAATTTGGTATCAAAATGTACAAAAAATATATTAAAGCTACAAAATGTTTTACTTTCAAGGCGAAATTAACTATCATAACAATGTTTTACGGGACAGATTTTATTTACAGAGACAAAAAAACAGTAGCAAAACATTTTATATTTGACAACTTATTTTTTTCCTTTTCTATTTACTATGTTTAACAGTGCATAGAATATGAAATTAAAGCCGTTTCATATCCTTTAATCAACCCATAACCTACTAAACTTTTGTAATGGATTCGCCCAGCTTTGAATTTGGAACAGTTCATTTTAAGTTTAAGGGATGTCAATGTATTACCTGAAGTTGCGTAATTCTTATTTATTGCCATGGTATTTAGAAGGCCATGTGGTGTATAAAAATGTTTAGATGTTAACAAAAACAGTTAGCCGAAATTCAGAGCTATAAATGCACAAGTACATTCAATGTACCAAAATAAAATGAATTATTTTTGAAAATCCAATTATAATTAACGTTTCGTAAACGTGTCTGAATGCCTGATCTTAACACCATGAAATAAGTTGAATAGAGAAAAATATTATATTGTATACCAGTATTGCATTTATGTCCTTAATGTTGTTCGTGATTGTAGAAAGTGGTGATATAAAGGTCCGACCACAGTAAAGTACCTTAGTTTACCGTTATAACACTGAATAATTCGCTTGTT